CTGCAATGCCTTCTTCAGAGGTTCAGTGGAAAGGCGCAGGCAACAATTGTATTTTGATCAGGTGCTAGCTTGCACGGTATGTCCATGTGCAAGGGATGCTTAGCTACACTGTTTTGCGGTAATTCTTGTCAAGTTGGCACATGTCTTTGAAGTCCAGCTCTATTTGGTGCACCAGGCTGGTCAAGTGGTTGGAGTCTTGAAACGATTGCTCAGGGCAGGAAAAACACCATCACATCCTGGCGATTCTCAAAGCATCACAGCCCAGGAGATCGGGATGACGGTGATGGATGCGGCCTCCTTCTTAGCCCCGGTCCCGTCCGGTCCGTGCTCTCGTGGTCTCCGCTTTGGAGCCTCCGCCTGACCGGTTTCGATCAGCTGTCCGATGGTCCGGGGTGGCGAGGCGTGGTTCGGAAGGGAGTGGAGGGCGAGTCCTGCTTGGAGGAAGAGACCTTTTTATGTGGGGTGGACGCTTTGGGTGGAAAAACAACGGGGAGTGGGACGGGCGCCGGGCCGCTTGGGAGTCTTCCAGTTGCACCTGGTGGGTTTCATCTCGGGACTGGACATTGCCATTTCTCCCCATGTCCATCAGCGATGTTGGATGTTGGACCAAAGGTGTTCCACATGAACAAGTTCATCAAACCTTCCAATCTTGGAGGCTCCAAGATCGTGCATCTCTGTTTAACCGGACTTCGGATCTGGATCGGATCTGTCGATGAATCGGACCCTCGAAGACACCCAGCCAGTCACCCACCCCCCCCAGCCGGTCACCCAGCCGGGCGGTGCGGCGCCTAGGCGGCGAAGAAGTGGGCGCAGCTGGTGGAAGAGGCACGTATGGCGCGCGTGCGCGTGCGTTTTGTGGCGCGGCCATGCGCGCCGAACGGATCTCGAATCGGAGTGGAGTGGATGGAAGTGGATCGATGTGGAGAACGGAGATGCCCTGGCCCACTTGGCTTTGCAATGTTTTGGACGATTTCTCTTCTTCCAGGGATTCCAACTGGGAAATCTCCAAGGCTTGGAGCTACACACCCGCACGCGGGCAAAACGCTTTTCTCGCTCGCCGGTCCGCATGTCCGGTGCACCCGACATGCGATGGTTCGGGGGAGGTCCAACCCGAGGAGTCTGTTTTTGCTGTGGCGACATCACCCAGCCACAGGGGGTGGCTCAGGCCAATGAATCCACAGGTTCAACACAAATTTGGTTGATTTTACTTTTCGGAAATACCCATGAGCAACAGGATGTTGCTGTGCCCTCGGTTCTAGCTGTGCACTCGGTTCGATTCTACTCTATGTTTGAAGCTGCTAAGTGCAACATCCTGTCCAGGGCGAGAACATTCAGAAGAACGTTCTGCAAGAAACCGAGGAGATTCGTGATCTCGGCATTTTGATTGTCACCGCCAACGGTGAAAGGAGATGGCAGTGCTCCAGCCGAGGTGGTGAACATGTGTTAGCAATTTTTTTTCTTCTCGGCATGTAAATTTTAACGGGAGACGAACACTTGATACTGAGTAAGAATTGTCGCACAGGTCGATATTTACCAAACGACCTACAGTGAGTGTCTTGAACGAACACCTTCAATGCTTCTGTCAAAGCCAGGCAAAAGATTAGCTTCCCCTGGTTGGTAATGTTTCGATGTTATTTATTTGGATGTCACGTTTCCTTCTATCTCGCCAATACGGCTTTTGCGTGCTGCAACGATTTGCGCTCTGTCCTGAAATCAGTGATTGCCTAGATGACTCTGGGTGCCGCAGCTCAATGTCCCGCCCTTTCCGTCTCAATTGCTCTTCTTGCTTTCAGTGAGAAACACATAAACCGCAGGGCTTTGTGAGCAACAGCCAGGCAGATGACACCCGCTGCTTTGGTGTCGAACATGTCCAGTAGGCAAGAACCATCTTAACATCTAAAACTATTGTACCACCCCAAATCCCAAACACAATGGTCTCACCCCCCCTTCTATTTCCCTCAAAACCGCTCAAAAATGAAGACCTCGTTTTTGCTGTGTGTTTTTGGGAGGATGTGATGACGGAAGGACTGCGAGGGCAGTACCAAGTGATGACTCACAAGCAGAAGGACCGCCTTCTCGCCCGGGAGATGACTCGGGGCATCCCGTGATGTCACGAACTGTTCTGCGCTGAACACGTCCTGTGGTTGATGAACACGTGTTCCTTCCGTGAAGACGCGGAAGAAACATCACTGGGTTTTTTTCGCAAAAGCTCTCCTCGTCTGATGCAGGTTCTGAAGGGAGTTTTCCGCGGTCCAAGTGAGAGATGTTGGACCTGTGGCACCACGGGTAACACGCGGATCGCGCTGCCGTGGCTTTTCGGGGGGCAGAACGTCGAGCGCGTACGGCCGGAGTCTCGGAGTCTCGGAGTCTCGGGTTGTCACGCTCGGTCGGATCGATCGCGCGCCGTTCGTCCGCAGTCGGATGTCCGCGAAGATCAGACGCGGTACTTGCTTTGACGATCTTGAGGTTCCCGGAATGAGTCGAGACTTCTTGAGGTTTCCTGTCTGACTGTGTTGAAAAGATGTCTTCCATGAAGTATCAGTATATATGTCACAGGTATCTCTGGGCGTTTCATCCTGGGCGATCTCTCTCCTGGGATCTCTCGTTTCATCCCTCCTGCGGGCCTTTCTCCCCTCCTGCCGGGGCTTCCAGCGAACCGGTGAGGACTATTCCGTGAAGCTTCAGCATTTCTACTCCTTGCTGGCGCAGCAGGACCCGTTGTCGTTGTCGAGAACGGACCGAGCCTTTCTGGTGAGGAAACCGGGGGTGGCCCGGGCACCCGCCCGGTGGTGACGATGGAGAAACCCCTTGGGGTTTTTAACACGTGTAAAGTGTCCGAACATCGCTCGTTCTTTTGAGATGGAAAGGCCTTGCAACCTAACCATCATCATCCAAAACGGGCCCTGATCATGGACCCAAGTCATGTCTACTCCTCACCTTTTGAAAGACAGCTTACCCTGAAAAGCTACGTCCCCAACTCAGGAGACTGCTTCCCTGAAACGCGCGCACTGCGGTCGGTTCTTGCCAGGAGGAGCACGCTGCCATGTTGATGGACTTGAGGTCCAAGGTGGAGCAGGGAGAACTGGCGATGTACAAAAACATGCCCAAAGCATTGTTGGGAGTATCTTAGGAGAGTGATTCCCTCCAATCACCGGGTTTGCTGGATTTTTCTCTTTGATCGTTGAAACACCCTCTCCGTACAGGTCTCCCTGAAGTGGTTCCTTCGGATACCTGGGGGCAGCGTTAGGAACATTGTTTGTGATGTAGGAGGATGTCGGATATTGTCGGCAGGAAGAAGAGAGTCTGTGACTTTCGGACATGCAATATCATGCAATGACGCAAATTGAAAGGTTCAGACAGGGGTTGACAAGGGTTGACAAGGGCAGAGGGGTTGACAAGGTTGAGACACATCTGCGTTTGGTGGGATTTCTTCGCGGGCACTGTTTTCAAGCCTGATACAAGTAGTCGAGAGCAACTCCCCAAATCAGGTTGACATCCGTGGTCGAAGATTCTGCGGATTGGACTCCGGGTCGGCGGCCGGCCGGTTTGCTTTTGAAGCCGGCAGGCTGAGAGTGCTGAAGACAAGGCTGAGATCAAAGAGGTCGGGTCAGATTGAGGACTTGAGACTCTTCATGGATCCCCATCAAATCGTTCTGTCAGAAGAACCCCCACACCAACTATCTATATTCGCTCGGAAAAAGACACACATGAAAACATTGGAGGAGCTTGTTGCCCTGGAATTTCGCTCCAAAACCTTCGGAGTTTTGTTGATCAATCTTTGGGTGACAGTACAAGTAGCGGCACCTCTGTAGCTCACATTGTGTGACAGACAATGATACGGCAGAATATGTTTCTGGGGTTGTAATGTCAAGACCTGATTAATAAAGCGCCCCCCCCACATGGTAGGTCAACAAGGTCAACAAGGTATGAGATACCACTCAACAAGGTAGAGAGCATGAAATTGCACAGTGCCAGACTCCCAGACTCTTCCAGACTCTTGACTCTTCCAGGAAGCCAATTTTACAGGGTCCAACGGTGACCAAGTGACCAGTTGTATACACGGCAGTAGGTTGGAGAGTAGGTTGGAGGTCATTGCTTCTAGGTTGGAGGCCATCTCTTCTAGGTTGGAGGCCACTGCTAGTAGGTTGGAGGCCATCGCTAGTAGGTTAGAGGCCATTGCTTCTAAGTTGGAGGCCATCTCTTCTAGGTTGGAGAACATCGCTAGTAGGTTGGAGGCCATTGCTTCTAGGTTGGAGGCCATCTCTTCTAGGTTGGAGGCCATCGCTAGTAGGTTGGAGGCCATCGCGAGTAGGTTGGAGGCCATTGCTTCTAGGTTGGAGGCGCTAGTAGGTTGGAGGCCATCGCTAGTAGGTTGGAGGCCATCGCAAGTAGGTTGGAGGCCATC